CATTTTGTAATTCCTATCCTTCAACATGTATCCTTCGTAGCAACTCATGTATTCAGGACTCCAAAAAAAGGATTTTGTGCCCTGCGTCGCATCGCTGTCTGAGGAAAAGCGCCTGCTGCCTTTTGCAAGCAAGAAGAGAAGGGATACGCTATTTAGCTGACCTATCAGTGGAAACTGAAAAACTTACCAGGGATGGGTTAATGCCTGTTGGCAGGTGAATCTTTGTTCCGGATCGCAGCACATCAGATGTGATATGAAATCCTTCGCTGAATCAGAGATCTCATCCCAGTACGGGGAGTCAAATTCGTATTCACCGCGAATTATTTGAGCAAATAGATTCGCATCGTTCTCATCGTAGAATGGCGGGTAGCCGCACAGCAGTATGTAAGTGATCACGCCAATCGACCACACGTCCACCGCTTTGCCATACGGTTTCTGTTGTAGCACCTGAAGCAATCCAAACTTATTTAAGCTCACTCTAATTTTCACCGTATCTACCTCCAATCGTCGATAAGGTCGTAGTCTAGTTGGTAAGATCCTGGTGGCACGGTATGGAATGAAGTGGTGTTGCTCAACACGTACAAGCAATATCTCGAATTGGCTTTAAAGCCTTGCAAAATGCTTATTTCGGAAAAACACTGAGTGCTTGAATCCTATAGGACACGAAATGGGCGTGAGGATCACCAGCAATGCGACGTGAATCAAAGCGACCGGAAAAGCTGACAGGTGCGTCGATGGAAAGTTGCCAGAACATGAATTACAGCTGTTCCGAACAATTCACGGATCCAAAAAAATTAGACAGTATTTGGATGTATCTCTGATTCACTTCTGGATGTCTGAGCAGAAACTATGGAATAATAAAAGCCACAGAAGGGAAGTCATCAGCTGATGATTGCTGCTGGCACTCGCTACCTCGAACAACTTGGAACAAAATCAGTGGGTAAAAGCACAGTTAAAATGAAAATAGGCAACGAATTAGTGGGTAAATATATTTTTGAAAAAAAAAAATGAATTTTTTAGTGTACGAGCCTCCGGTGCGACATATCCGGGAGTACCGCATGCTGTTGCCATAACACCTGATTCTTCGGTTTTTGAAAGACCAAAATCAGAAATCATTATTTTCGAATCTTCTTTCTGATCATAATACAATAAATTCTCCGGCTTCAGATCCCTAAAATTATTCAGAATTTGAATTTATTTCATGCTTTTTTCAGCCTCACCATTGAAATCATACGATTGCTGGCATTACTAGTGCCCTCAACACGGTTTGTTTTCTTGAAGAGCCTGTGAGCATTTGTGACCCGTTTTTTATTATTATTACTATTGCTGAAACACTTTTGTATTTGTTTGTTCAGGTTTAACGTGCTCGGTTTTTCAAAAATCCACTGGTCCGTGAAATCCAGAAAACCACTGGCCCGTATTAAAGGCAAACCCAATTCCACCCCTTTCCAGAGATCGTTTTTTTTTTATTTTTTTTTTTTTTCATGAAACATCCTATTACATCCAGTACCGAAAGATCCCTAAATAAAAACAAAATACCATCCGTAAAAATAATACTGAGCAAAAATGCAAACGGTCAAGAAGCTAGATATGAGATAGAGCGAAAATTCAAATGGCGATTAATCGCTGGACAACCTGTGGACGACTCCATTTTCGTGCATAAATGCCACCGCCTCGAGCACCTGGCGCATTAGTACCGATGCATCACGTTCTGTAAACGATCCCTGTAATGCATGAATTAGAGTTTACTGGCCAGCTGGTTCTCCACAGTGATTGTTCAGACGGTCCTGGTGTATTAGCAAGTAGGGATGGCGGGGTAACACCGTCTACATCCAGCCAGTAGTGCTTCGAGGAGAGAAAACAATCTCCTGACACCATCAGTTAACATTCAGGAACTTCGCAACAGAAACATTGGTGACACGAATTAACTTTTTCAAGTGCGAGGTTTCTGAAATCAAAAAAAAGAAAAAAAAAAAAATAAATAGCAACGCACACCAGACTAGCCGGTGCGATCATCCGTTTTGTGCAGCCCATCGAACGATTGCCTATTAATGATTTTCACTGCTTTGTACTTTTGTCCATGCAAAAATATTCAAAAATTGGAAAACAGTTAAAAATTTCACGCACCAGCGTATGAAAGCTGAATTCGAAACCTTTAAGGGTGAATATCTTTCCGTGATTCCCAAGTTAATAGTTTAGCCGCCAAAATTCTCACGAGGCCGTAGGTGATACTCAACAGCGAGGGAACGCTGAATTTGAACAGGCAAGGTTGAGCGTGGGTAGAGAGTTATTACCCTAAAATTTCAGCCTCCTAGACTCCGTGGTTCCTGAGATATTAATTTACCCGTAAAAAACTTTCATGGGGCCGCACATGTTACAAGCGGGTACGGGAAGGCTGAATATGAATAGGCAAGGTTGAGCGTGGGCAGTGGGTCAGTACCCTAAAATTTCAGCCTCCTAGACTCCGTGGTTCCTGAGATATTAATTTACCCGTGAAAAAATTTCATGGGGCCGTACGAGTTACCCGCGGGTGGGGGAAAGCTGGATTTAAATGTGCAAAGTTGAGCGTGGGCAGTGGGTCATTACTCTAAAATTTCAGCCTCCTAGACTCCGTGGTTACTGAGATATTAATTTACCCGTAAAAAACTTTCACGGGCCTGTACGAGTTACCCGCGCGTACGGGAAGGCTGAATTTAAATTTGCCGCCTCATCCGTTGGTGGGGAACACTATACCAAAACTTCAGCCGCCTAGCTTTTGTGGTTCCCGAGTTGAAAGTGCAGGACAAAATGTGGGACACACACAAACGCACACACACACAGATAACCCCGTGACAATATGCGTTTTGTAACGCTGTTACACAGCACAAAACGCATAAAAAACTGAACTTAATTGTCACTACAGTTTGCGCGCAACAGAAGTGCCCACTGACGAGATGATACCCATGCGTAGTGAAGCCAAGAAGGGCAAGGCTTAGCGTGTTTGGTGCGCTTTAGATGAAATAGTAGAAAAAGAGATAAGGGGTTGGTCCAAAGTGTCATGTGTATGAAGAAATGTTAGGATGCAGTTCTACTACATTCAATATTATTTAGAAATCACGAGTCCCACGTTTCTGTTCAAGCATTATTTTGCACTTCTAGGTATTTTTCAGTGCGGTGCAAAAGGAGTGCTGGAAATGAAAGGAAGTGCAATGTAATTAGCAACTTTTTTTTTCTAGCGAGGGTGGATGGCTGTGTTGTCCGCAAGAGGATGGGAATGGGAGCACAATCCAGAAGAGGCGAGATGCCACTTTCTTTCATCTCTCTTTTGCACTAAATGATAAAAACTCTGGAATGTGGTCGCGTCAGTTAAAAGTGCGCTCTTACTATTTTGCTCTCAATAAATCATGCCGCGTAATATCATTTATCACCAATTCCCGTCACTGCGGGGCCGCCAGTATGTTGATAAGGTACTAAGCTTGCTTTCCTGTTTCTCGTGTCCATCCTCTGCATATCTATCAAAAAACAATAAGCCAAAAGATTGAAATAGCTAGAAACACTTTTTTGCGAGAGGCGGAAGCAACCGAAGCGACGAAAAGCTCCTCGCAGCAATTATCTGATTGCAAAGTTGTTGATGGCTCCCGTGTTCGGAGCCTGCTGCTTGAAAGCAAGAAGATGGCGTTTCTAATTGCCTGGCACAGGTCAGTACCAATTTAAACATCAAGAAAAGTCGCACAGAATCTGCTTTTCCTAGTGCAGTATTCACAAAGCAATAGCAGCAGCAAGCTGAACGAGTATTTTTATCAAAATTGAAAATTATACCAGTTCAATCGAAATCCCTAAAAAATAGCAGTATGGATGATGAAAAAATGAACAACAACGAGCGGCACTGTTTCGGTAACTTCTCATAGAAAGGCTCAAGAAGCGATATGATAGAGCAGGAACAATTTCACTTTGCTATCACCCGATGTTAAGCTGGTATTGCCAAAATGGAAAATATATCACAACCTCAAAATATAGCTTTCCAGTGAATGGATGACCTTGTTCAGTGGCTGAAGTACGAAAGCGCGAGAATGTCACTGTGGTCTCTCTCTGATGCGATTACGGGATCACTACTACAACAGCTGGCATTCTTCGAAACCATTGTAAAAAAAAAAAAGAAAAACTATCTTTACGAGTGACGGCTATTATGAAAGAATGTAAAACGGTTCGCGAAGAACTACACACGCGATCAGGGAATGCGGTGAGAGCGATGCATCATATTTTGCTCAGAAAGGAAAAAAAAAAACAAGCTAATCTGAACCACGTGGACATCTGGCAATCGGATAGCGACTGACGCAGCTTCATTTTAGCAAGCATGAAATGATTTCCAGTTGCAATAGTGGTTGTTCATTACAGCAAGCAGAGCAAAGAAGCAAATGCATCCAACAGCCAACGATACCAAAACCGCTATGAGGTAAACTGTGTGGGTATCCCATGTTAGTGATGTTACTGAGATGTCCTCAGAGGCCGGGTGTTGCTATGTTAGGCTAAACTACTATAATTTAATTCATTAATCCCCTGCACCATGTTTTTGTGTTTTTCATTTTCTCATCTTTGCTCAAACACATAAATATTCATGTGCCCTGTTTGGTAAATAAAACTATCTTACTGTTAAATCCTGGGCCGCATACCTTCGGTTAGTATCCACATCTGGAAGCAATAAGGCTAGAGTATGAGTGTGATTTCTGTAAAAAAATTACTTTGGCAACGATTCTGTCGAACAATTCGCCACCGGTGACAAGCTCCATGACGAGGTACACATACTGCTTTTCATCATATGTATCGTATAACTGTACAATATTTGAATGCCGCAGCCTGAATCAACGACAGCTGATATTCACTCAAATTTCAGTGAAAACATCCGACAAACTAGGAAACTATTTCTTGCGTGAAAAGACCAGAGAATATCTCAACAAGGCACAAATAATGTTCCAAGTTTGCAGATACAAGGTTTCGGTGAACTGCAACAGGCCTGTAACTCAGTCAGGGTTTTTCGGACAGCGGGGTAGAGGGGAATGGACAATGGAAACTTCTAGTAACTTTAGGTAGGTAGTTCTAGCAATTCTAGCACTTAACTTTTTTTTTCCTGTGTTCAAAATTCTACTGACTTAAAATCATTATATAGTAGATGTAAAATAAAAAGGATAAAAATTTTCGAAAAACTATTTCCTCTAGAGAATTTTTTCCTCTAGAGGAGAATTTTGAGACAAGAATCAAGACCCAGGCTGGAACGCACCAGGCTCTCCGGTGCAATCATGCGTTTTTGCACTAAACTCGCAGATCGCTATTAGCAGGAATGATCCCTACGCTGTAGCCTAATGGGCTAATATTGGCCGTACTTTGATCCTTACCGGCATGCGGGAGAAAGGGCATCAGTTGAGATAAAGCTGGTGCATTATAGAGCCACACGGACATCCAGGTGCATGATTACCAGTTTTTTGCATGAAGTCTGGTCGTTTTTTCGGTAAATGCTCGCTTTGTGAAAA